AATCCCTCAAGAGTCACATTTCCTAAAGAAAAAAAAAAACCAAAACTGTTCTTGCTAACTAGACAGTGCAACTAGACAGTGTGCCCAAACTTTACCTGATGGAGGGTCACCATGACAAATTGCCAGTAGCTTGAAGGATGCAATGAAATAGCATAACATGCAACAGACTGCAGTCACCTGTCTCCACAATGCAGAGCTGCAGCCTACAGCTCCCACTACTCTATGTTGATACATACATCCAAGCATGCTGGGGCCTGTCATTTCTATGGGCCACATCTCTGTATTAAAGTAAAATGCAGCCAAAACTTCTTTCTCTGGACTAAATTTTGGACAAACTTTCTTTATGGGTAAAATTCAATCCAGTACGGAGGGTCCAACGCTGGGTTTAAATGGCACCGAAGGCCTTGTGCTACGACTGATGAAAAACCAGAACTGCTGCTAAGGGGCTAATGGAAGCAGTGTTCTCAACAAGCTAGTCCACAACCCTTTACATAGATTTTGTAGTAAATGCCACTCACTTCGTTCCATCAAATTCATGACAACCTACAACAAATTCCTATAAAACAATGATGCTGGTTCTAGAAAAGCATCCTGCCCAGAAAAGCAGGCCCTCTTTCTTTCTCCAGGTGGAATTCGTCGCTGTGCAGATGGTCAGTACAAGGCCTATCAATATTTAACACCTCAACATTGGCGGTAAGGGGGACTTCACTGGTGCAGAAGCTTTGTGCTGACCCTATGCACAGGGATGGATTTGGCTCTCTGCCCGTAGTCTGTTTGCCTTCTAAGAACATTTGAACAAAGAGCCTTCTTGGCCTGACAGAGCAAATGAGTTCTCCCACTGACGGCAGTCTAAGTAAGGCTGGTAGGATCCAGCCCTAATTGCATTAACTCTGCCTTCTGCCACCCTACATGTAATAAATGTCATGAGTTAATGATAGAGATTGCGCCATCTTTCCCCAGTCTGAAAAATGAAGTTAAATGCTGCTGGGCAGGGGGAAGGGAGGGGGGAGAAGCATGTTTCACACAACCTGCCTTTGAGTGCTGTTATTTCAGTTACTAAAGTCACAGATTGCCTATAGATCAGATGGTGCCATAGTGGTGATGGAGCATGAAACCTCACTTAACTCCCACTTTACAGTTTCTTTTTTGCAGCTGAGATTCCACTACTCACACTGACCACATTCTTGCCATTACGCCTGTGGCTTTTCCCGTCTGATAGAAGCTAATCCTCACTGGTTGTAGTTTAGAAAAACAACAGTTTTTCTTGTTTCATGTTTAAGAATGGATGCAACAGTTCGCTGTCTGAATGGGAGCGTAATTTGATACGCGAGCAAGTCGTTCGAGTTCCACTTTAAAAAAAAAAACCAAGTAGCAAATATACCAGGATCCGAATGTGAGTAGACAGGAGTCTTGATTTATGAGCAATATGCAGGGTTCAAATTGGATCTGCACTACCTCAGCAAAGGTATCTGCTTATTGGATGATTTGTTTTTTAATGACCCTTCGATGTTGCTTTTGCAGAATAATAGTTAAAATGCCATGTTGAATAAGGACAAGTCTGTGCTAAGCTAAGCTATGCTTGTACTGCAATAAACTGGTCCTTCAGCAGGTTCAAGAGCATGGTGTATTTAAAAAAAAAAAAAAAAAAACAGTATTCAGCTACTATGGGAAAACAAACACAACCCAGAAAAAGAAATGTAACAGTAAACCAGCAGATGTATTAGGGCACACTCTGAATTCTTTACTACTCAGATGGGAGATGGCCAGGCTCTAACTACTATTTATGTTTGATCATGCAATAATTATGCAAAACCTAAACTGGAATTAAGCAAAAGAAGTTTAACTGTGCTTAACTGTGTTACATACTGGCTTTCATAATAAGGAAACAATTGTGTACTGCTGCAGTTAGTAGGAACTAATGGTTTTCGTTTATCTTAATTACATGGTAAAAAATTACCAAACTAAGGCATTTACAAAGCAGCACCTGGTTAATTTTATCAAGTGTAATAAAAAGCCTTGCTTTCTGTACAAAGGTCACTTCTCTTTTTATTACACAGCCAAATCCTACTCACTCAAATGACCGTACCAAGAGAGCACTGGATAGAAAAGGTTAAGTTGTTATTGATTCATTTTTGTGGGTGTGCACCTATTGCATAGCATCCATATTACCTGGAGAAAATACAGCACCATAGGAAATCACAAACAGCTCCTTACCCAGGCTGTACTACCCCCAAATAAGCACAAATTCAGCAATCTCCCATGGTCAAGCTATTGACTGATCAAAGAGGTGTGCCTCACTCAGCTCTCTGAGCTGTAAACCTTTGTTCCTCAGCAAGGGACTCCACTAACTGTAGTACTTGCAATCCCCAAAAGTGCACCGAGGGACTGTCAGCAAAAGCACCACCACCAACATGGTAGAACATGGGGAGAGAAGTGTCCCCTAGGGCAGCCACGCTCCAAAGTATATAGGGTTACATAGATTAGAATCAACACGTTGAATAGCACCCAAAAACAGATAGGGATGACAGTGCAATTCATGGAGCACAGGTGTACCAGGCCTCTCACTGACTGCTCTGTTAAGCAGGTGGGCTACCATAATGCTAGCAAGTGGTCTTCAATGGCTGCATGCATTGCATTCATACAACCAGGGGCAGACAAAGCGTGGAGGACTGTGGCAAGGGCTGTGTCAGTAGGGAAAGTCTGCAGCCCCTTAACTAGCTGCAAATTTTTAAGTAGCAGGAATCATTGCTGCTACTTGGGAAAATGACAGCCGTCAGGGATTCAACAGTACCCAACAACTGTGAACCTCTTTGGCAAGGAGAGGACGTACGCCACGGCTCGATAGAGAAGTCACCCCTTCCCAATTCAAGTCGCTTCCCTCTGCCCCAGCAGCACCATCTTGAGTCTTGGGCTATGTCTACACTAGCACTTTGGACAGTAAAACTTTTGTCAGTCAGGGGCGTGAAAAAACATATGTTGCACCAAGAAAAGCGCCGGTGTAAACAGTGCTATGTCAGCAGGAGACACTCTCCCGGCAACATAGCTACCGCTGCTCATTGTGGGGTGATTTAAATATGCTGCTGGGAGAGCTCTCTCCCATCAGCATAGAGTAGGGTGACCAGATAGCAAGTGTGAAAAATCGGGACGGGGATGGGCGGGTAATAGGCACCTATATAAGACAAAGCCCCAAATATCAGGACTGTCCCTATAAAATCGGGACATCTGGTCACCCTAGCCCAGAGCGGCTACACGGGAGACCTTACAGAAATGCAGTTGCAGCAGTACAGCTGTGCCGCTGTAAGGTCTGTAGTGTAGACATAGCCTCAGTCAGCACAGTCTTCATCGCGTTTAACTGTTGACTCTGTGCCGTGAGTAGTAAAGACCAAGGCTTTGTCTGCAGCCATCTAAACAGCTGAAGTTTTCACCTCCAGGATTTGTAAGTGCTGCTGCTGATTCATAACGAGGCAAAGAAGTATATTATTAATCAAACCCAGAAGCACAATTCTACAGGAGGCTTTTATGTGAATGAGAACAGCATATGAAGTTACACTTAGCTAGGATTAAAGTTACAAGGGGCTCTCAGTCCTTCTGCTTCAGGCCATAAGCTGATCACCAGATGCAGGTCAGGAAGAATTCCACCCCACTCCCCTTCATTAACAGTGTTGCACAAGAGGTAAACTATAGAGAGGCAGAAGGAAGAGGAGGGTTTTGGTTATGCCTTTAAGGGCCTGATCCAGCCGCTCTGAAGTGGGAAGTCTGTCCATTTCCACTGTCTTTTCTAGAAGTTGAGTAGGGTCCTCATTTGCTGTCAGAGACAGGATACTAGACTAAAGAGACCATTGGTCTTTTGGTTTGGCACTTCTTAACTACAGCACTATATGCAGCAAAATCCAGATTTCAGATGCCTAACTAATAAAAGGGAAGCCTGGCAAATGAACCTGTTATGAGATATCAGTGGATGGCAGGTCCCATGATATTTATATATATATTATATTCATATTTCACAAGAGTTAAAGTGAGAGCTCTAGAGCTGTGGGAAACTTGGCAGTTTCCATTCACCAAGGTTCATGAGAACAATTATTTTTCAGTTTCGATTCTCATGGGGTTTCACATTGAATTTTGGGTTCAAACAAAAACCCACTTATTCTTTACTGCAAATTAATTAACTGGTTTGAACTTTTTTTTAAACAAAGCCACAACATTTCATCTAAACCACTGAGTTTCAGCTGGTATCATGTCAAAACCACTTGAAACATGAAACCATAAATCTTCCCAGGTTGACTCACAATCAGGCACAGGTTGTCTGGAAAAAGTTTGCAAAACCTACTAAGTCTTCATGTTTTTAACAAAATACCCCAGTGAATTTTGTATGCGGATTTTTTGGATTTTGTTGCAAATCTTTGGCACAATTATAGTTAAAATCTCATTTCACTTTTATAATTTGTTACACACAGTAATTTATTATTTCTCTCAGCACAGTGAAATCAAAAGTCAGAACTTCTGCATACAATCCTCATTAGGAGAATTTCATACACTCCAATTTGTTGATTGTGAAAGTGATATAAACTGGCACTAGAGAGAAGCCACAGTGTGAGAAGGTTGCATTGGTATCCTGATAACACCAGTACAATGTTGGCCACTTTTCTTGCCAGCAAAGTAAACAGCGCGGCTGAGTAAATATGTTCAGGTAAAATATCTCTATGTATTCCACCACTGCACATATGTGGGTTATTGCAGAGCATCATGGTGCTTAGATTTCACCAGATTCCTCACCTATTTGCTGGATTTTGACATTTTGGTCTTTAAAAAAAATTAATTTAAGAAAAGAAAGACATTTCAGCTTTAAATGCTACAGAATAAAATCTGCTCCCCAGCTATCTTTGATTGGTGCATATCTCTCACTCTGTAACAGCCTCACTTCTCTACAGTTGACACAAAAATATCCACAACCAATTACTACCATTGCCTGTGCAAGTCAAACCTATGTTTCTGTCTCTTACCTGTAATCTGACTCTGTCCTTGTGGATTAAAAGGACTTGGTGCAGAGTTCAGAGAGGGCCGTGGGCTCTGAGTCGGGACCCCTACTCTCATACTGGGATGAGGAATGCGCCCTAAATCACTGAGGCGTTCAGAGAACAAACTAGGTTTAGAGTCATCAAGCTTCTGTCTGTGCCCTGGAAACAGCAAATCATAAAATAAAAGGGTTATTAACACGACTGAACAATTTACCATACAAAAAAAAAATCCCCAACTTATCTGTAAAGACCTATTAACTGTTTGTGGGTTCTCTAGGCATTTTGGCTAGAGACAGAAACCAAAGCTGGTGAAAGAATGGTGGCAGGGAGTGAGGGCATATGCCATAGAGTCTTCTGTACCTATCAGACAGTGGTGCACCTGAGTATTAAAAACTGTGGGGGAGATCCTGAGCTGGTCTAAACTGTTATAGCTCCATTGACTGCAACGGACCGATGACAACTCAGACTAGCTGAGGATCTGCCCTACTGTGAGTTCTACAGAATGAAAGAGCAGCATGTTCATTGCATGGTCTACTCTATTGGTTAGAGGTGTAATTTATTTGTGACTGTTATACCAGTCAAAGTCCTAGTGTGGATGCAGTTATACCACTCTAAGCATATACCGAGGGCTTCTGTTTTTCTGGGTTTATTTATTTCATTTTCTGGTGTTTATATTTTACACTTTTTGATTTGTATATAGATGCCCAAAAATAGTGTTTTATGGGGCTCTCTCTTTACATATAAACACAGTGCTGTTTCACACAGCACTATGTTAAAGAGCACTAAGAAACTTTTAGTGTGCACCTGAAAAGGTTTACACAGACCAATTAATGCGCAACACATTAATGTGCTTTTAAAATCACATCCTTGTAGTCCACATTATTGCTCGAAGTAGACAAGCCCTTAGATACAAGCCAGGGAGCAGGGACATCACCTATATAAAAAATCTGCAATGGGAAATGGAAGTCAATATGAATTGAGTAACCGTTTCTGGTATTTTTCCACTGTTTATTGGATAAACACTGATTTCATTTTTTTATTTTTTTATTTTTTGCTTTAGGGGTATTGTACTGGTGTTTGTTGGTTAAAAACCTAAAATCACAAGCCTTATGTATACCACATCCACTTCCCAAAAATAGTATAGACTGGGCTATACTAGTATAAGCACTTTTATACTGGTAACCTGTGTTCAGACTAGTGATTTTTTACTGCTTTAATTATAGTGGGATAATGAAAGTGGCAAAAGTTTCTAATGTAGATAAACCTCCTATCCATATATGTGCGTGAGTGAGAGATCGTTCCAGGATTGGTTCCATTTATTATGGAGATTTTCAGATAGCTAAGAAAATCTGACTTTTTTTGTTTTGTATTACTCTGTTACAATTAGTCTGTATGGTTCACTTATTATTCTGTAACTTTGGAGCGTATTCATAAAACAGAACTAAATAGCCAGTCTCCTTTAAGTATCAGGGGGTAGCTGTGTTAGTCTGTATCTTCAAAAACAACAAGGAGTCTGGTGGCACCTTAAAGACTAACAGATTTATTTGGGCATAAGCTTTCATGGGTAAAAACCTCACTTCTTCAGGTGCATCTGAAGAAGTGAGGTTTTTACCCACGAAAGCTTATGCCCAAATAAATTTGTTAGTCTCCTTTAAGAAGCCAAAAGAGTGGTGTAATAAGGAAAAAATGGCAAAGCTGCATCTGATGAAACCAATCCTGCTGGGTTCCATACTTCCCTTCACTTAATGGGCTACCCCTCATCATTGCTCCCTCTCCAGCTCCCACTACCAGCTCAGCTGCACGAATGCTGCATGGATTAACCAGGAATGCTCTTTCATGTTGTGCAGTTGTTAGAAGTTAAAGGGGGGAAATGACATTAATCAAAAATAACAATGCCCACTCCAAAATGCTGATAGTATAAGTACTTTTACTTAAGATCTGCCAGTTCTATCATAGAAATTATGCATCATCCATCATCATACTTATATTCAAATACTTTTTTCATTTTAAGGCATTTCCATGATGCTCATCACCAGAGTATCAGAGCACTTCACTAAGTTTAATGAATTAATCTTTAGAATAGGAAATAGATAGGGTTTATTTTCCCCATTTTACAGATGGGGAAGCTGAATCACAGAGAGGTGAAATGACTTAGCGAAGGTAATAGATAGTGAACTCAGAAGCTAGAACCCAGATCCTATGACTCCCAGTCCTGTGCTGTAATCATCCTTCATCTCTAGAAACAGGCATTTTTGTATAGCATCCATCATCCTAGTACCCGAGTGCCTGGCATAGAACACACATTATCTAATTGGAACCCTGACAACAGGTGGTGGAAGCAGGCAAGCAATTTCGGTACAGGTACTAGTACAAGACTCAGAGAAATCCTATTTCTATACAGAAAATTGAGAGGCTGGAATGGGCGTGTGAAGAGAAATGGACCTCATTTGAGATTAGAGGAGTCTCAAACAATTTTTAAGGTTCTTGAAACTGATTTGTTGACTCATTTTCCTGTCATTTTAAAGCATGTTGCCCCCCCCCAACCTACAAACATGTTTCTTCCTCCTAGTTAAAGGGAAACAGGTGCTACATATTAGAACAACCCACCCAAAATTAGGCTGGCACAAGTGGGTGCCCTACATATATAGGAGTGATGTTGATGAGCATAGATATAGAATGGTTTTTTGGCTGGTTCGTGGTAATGTTATAATCGCAGTTTAATTAATATGATAATACCGTAACTGGCTGTGTTTAGCATTGTCTCTTGAATCTATGAAAAGCACTGTGGTACAAGTTAGGTGTTGTTAAATCTAAAGAAGTAACTTTCACACACAAAGTATTTTTCCATAGAAGTTCTCCTTCTCAACCTCTCTCCTTTTTTACAAGCTCCGTGTTTGTTTTTCCTTCTGCCTGTGCCATTTTCCATCTCGTTTTTTTCCAGTGGATTTTTCCCCCTTTCTCCTTTGTTCGCATTTGTTCCTAATCAGAATAGAATCTCTTTTCGGTGAGTTCAAAATTACACAAACGGAGTTAGCCTATCCCTAATCTCTCTCACCAGGGCTGAGTTTATCTGAAAATGAATCAACTCCAAAATGGGCTTTTGCTTTGATTTTTCAGACAAAAATTCTATTGTACATTTAAGTAGTGCCCTTCCTCCTCAGAGATCCCAAAGCACTTTCCTAACAGACTGATACACAAACTTGAACTATAGAATGTGTTAACTATATCTGTGGTTATTTGTAAGTCATCACTGCTGCCCAGGTCTGTAAAAGTATGCATGTGATGCCCTTCAACCTGCTTTTGACCATGCTTTATTCTTCAGTGCATAGCTCTGTAAAAACAAAGGTCATATTTAACTACATACATTATTTACTCCAAACTAATCCAACACTGAAATGCAGCCACTTCTGAGGCAGAACCCAGCAACTGTCTATTAGTGGAAAATAACTGCACACAGTAGTTTAGGATAGGAAGTGAAGAAGAAAGAACTCTGTAGCTGGTTCAAACTGGAGGAGTCTACAGTCAATTTTTTTTTTAAAGGCCCGGGAGGTCGGGTTCCCCAGGTCTGGAAGACCCAAAGCATCAAGGAAACTAAAGGTACGTCTACACTGCAATTAAAAACCTGTGGCTGGCCCCTGCCAGCTGACTCGGGCTAAGGGGCTGTTTAATTGCATTGTAGAAGTTCCAGCTCAGGCTGCAGCCTGGGCTCTAGGACTCTGCAAGGTGGGCAGGTCCAGGAGTTTGGGCTGCAGCCCAAGCCCAAATGTCTACACTGCAATTAAACAGCCCATTAGCCAAAGCACTGCGAGCCTAACTCAGCTAGCACGGGCCCACCGCAGGTATCTAATTGCAGTTAGACAGACCCTATGAGGCTCTAGAAGCCAAATAGGAGCCATAGACATTCTTGGCTTGCCCCTCCCCTTGTCAATATTTTTATTTTAGGGCCACAAAGAAGACACAAAGGAATATTGGGACAAAAGGGTCTCTGGATGCCAGATAGCATCCGGCTTACATAGTGAGGTCCCCTAGAGAGGTTTTATTAAGTTTTGTGTTCTCAAGTTTGTGTGATTGTTGTATTATAATAAAAGCCATGGCTGAGTAAGTCCTTTACCTATCTTTAATGACAAATAAAACCATTCAACCCAAACCTCCATTGTAATGACACCTGTGTGCTGCTGAGCTGTGACTCTTGCAGTGTTTTTAAATCAAAGGCCACTAGGCTGTCCTTGGAGAACAAGACCTGAAAACGATAAATTCAGAAGGTGCTTACAACCCACAGGAGTTAGGGTGCAATCCACAAAATTATGTAACTTTCAATGGGAGTTAGGCGCCTGTGTGAAGTCCACCCTAAGTGCCTTACATACCTATGGACCTGCGAACCCCTAGTGACTGTGGAAGAGCTACGCCCTACAGTGAAACGCCCTAGAAAAATACTTTCCAAACAGCATGTGAGCAGGAATAATGAAATACATGCTATACGCGTGAAGTTCACTGCACAAAGGCTGCTTTTCATCTCTGTAGTGATATATGCATCCGTTGACAGAGAAATTCCTGATCCCCAGGGAGCACACTAAGAAAAGATGTATTTCTCTGTCTCAAGTGTGAGGCATAATTTATTTCAGAAAAAAGACCTGGGTGTCACTGTAGACAGCTCAATGAAAACCTCTGATCCATGTGCAACAGTGATTTAAACATAAAAAAGCAATGGTAGGCTGTATAAAGAATGGGAATAAATAATATTGGAAATATGCTCATAGCATTATACAGCTCAATGAGATGGCCTCACCCAGAATACTATGTTCAATTCTGGTCACCCTCTCTCAAAGAAGTTATAGCAGAAACAGAGCAGGTTCAGAAGTAGATTACAAAGGTGGTTAGAGACATAGTAAGTCTCTGATTTGAAATGATATTGAAAAAACTGGGTCTGTTTAGTCAGGTACTGAATCAGGGTGTGATCCAAAGCCCATTGAAATCAATGGAAAGACTGACACCAAAAAGAGAGGACACAATAGAGGTGTAAGCAGGGTCTGAATGAGCTCTCCTCTGACATCTAGTGATGAGCTGGGAAAGAGGACTTCAGGAGCTGACCTTGTTTGCATGGGCACATCCACCCTGCCGAGGTGCTCAGCATGATGGGACTGCTTTGCCCAAACGATCAC